GTATTCAAGACATTTTGTATATTGATACAATTTGGGATATTTATCTTGCTGCCCTTTTTAGTTCTACCTCTTGTCTTGACACTTATACTCTACCTCTATTTTAGGGATGTATATGTAAATAGTTATATTGTTTAAGTATTTGTTCCTGCTTTACTCAGGAAAGTTTTAATCAGTCTTTTTAGCTAAGTTCCCAAGTATTACAGATTATCTTCACTCACATTTCCTGTACCTATGAGATTAGTCAGATATAGATGCTTAATCTTCAATCACTTCATAGACATGCAGAACATGGCATTTAAATGTTTTAATATTAGTACTCCATTGACATGAGACACTGTTGCTCCTGACAGCACCGTGCACTTTCCTGAAAATATGTTGGACATTGTTGTTGCTCCTGCTGGAGTTCAATCTTGCCTCAGCTAATGGCCTGTTGGGCATAGAATTGCCCCCACCTTGACCACTGATTTGGACATGCAGTCCTATGTGCTTGCAGGAGACAAATATAGAAGACTGCTTGAACTTGCCAAGTCAGGGTAAGACAGCCATTCTACCTCCCTGCTGTTGTTGTGGTCTGTCAAGTTCTCTTGGCCTTAGCCAAATCTGGGTGTACCAACGTTGCTGTGAGACCTAGGGTGACTGTTCAGGTGGCTTGCTGTTTCTGTCCTTGCTGCACCTTTTGGAAGTTGTCCATCCGCATTTCCTGTCTACTCTAGTATTGTTAATTTCCTTCTCAGGTCTTGATGAGGTTGAAGATTAAACTGTCACAACTATTATTCTCTCTTCCTACTTAGATATATTAGGTACTAGACTTACGTTTTCCAGCTTAGGACAACTCTATTGTAAACTCCATTATGCCCTCACCCTAGGACTAGATATGTAGGTCATTTTGTTCTCGATTTTCCTTTTCTTGGAGCACACTTGTTATTCACTGTTTTGTATATAGTTTTGTATTAAGCCTAAATCTTTTCTTTAGACTAAAAGGGGAATTGTAGTGAGATAGTCCTTCTGTGGCACTGACCACGCCCATTGGGGGGTGGAGCCATGGGCGGAAGTGACCTGTGGAAGGAGGTCGGAGGGGGCGAGAAAAGGCGCTCTCTTTCTGGCGTGACTCGGACAGGAGAGGATCGGGTTGAATTTCCTGGTGTTCATCTGTCTAGGTTGTAAGTTATTTCTCCCTGAATAAACATCTATTCGGCCTATTTGTTTATCCTGATCCTTATTTACCGCGATAGCCCCATGACACCATTCTAGTCTGTAAAACTACTGCTCTTCTCCACACACACACACACACCCCGCCCCCACTCAAGAAGATCTTGTTCTGTAGTCCAGGGTGTCCTGTAATTTCCCATCCCCCTGCCCCCTCAGTTTCCTAGAGACCAAGCATACTGAGGACACAACTAACTCACAGAATCCCTCAGTTCAACCCTCGGTCCCACACAGACCAACATGGAGAATTAAACACCACACTATAAAGTAGTGGTCATTTCCTGAACTCCAGCACCTCTAGCCCTTTGCTCAACACTTTTACCTGAGTCACTTTGAACGCCCATCAGCCCTTACTCTGTTGATGGCTGTCAAGGGCTAACTGGCTTGGAGGAGGGGCTTGGCTTCAATGTCTGAGGGCATGTCAGTGCTGCTGCTCCTTACCCAGGGAGAGAAGAACACAGGTCCAAGCCTCTCAAGGGTTCTTTACAAGTATAGTCACAGACATGTATAGTAACATGTACAGTATAGCTACCAGGTGTCTGTGGTTCACCTATGGGCACACTACCTGGTGAGTACAATATTCTAGATTGGCTCTTAGGAGAGAATTTGGTGTTAACAAGGGTGTGGGACCCGCCCACATGCCCACAGTGACTTCAATCTATTTCAGTGTACCCAAGGGACACAATGAGCTCCCAAGGATCACTCGAGCTCATCACTGTGGTGATTCTAATGGGGTCCTTATCCTCCTCCACATGTGTTCCCCGAGGGAAGGAATCCTAGCATGTGCTTGATGTTTCACCAGCTACTGCCTACATTTACCCAATATTTCTAAGCAAAATCAGTGATCTTCAATGGATTCTCATCAAACTCTACACAGAAGCCTGGCCACTGACACAGAAATTCTCCCAGCCAGCGCTCACTGAAGCCCCATCAAGTCCACAAACAAGAAGGCTCTTTTCTTCTCCATGACCCCACCTGGGCCATCAAGGAGGAAGACACTGAGGAACAGAAGAGGGACCCAGTTCTTTAGGGAGCCAAGTCTAAACCACAGATATAGGCCAGAAGCCAAGGAAAAGGTTGAAGAAGCTGACTTTGGGTCACATGACCCAGGTGTTTTGGGAACAAAGAGGAGGCTACAACTGAAGAAGCCCAACACTTACTTCAGCAGTAGGAGAGGCCAAGCAATCCCCGTGAAAGAAAGAGGCAGTCATGGGTGGAGGGAAGGAGCCAGAGAAGACAAAAGGGCCTCCTCCATCACACCGTTTGCACCGTGAGGCTAGCTCTCTCTCTCCTCTAAGGCTCCTGGCCTGACCTCTGTTGTCTCCACAGCCTGGCTGGCCGCTCTTCCCTGTCCTAGTCCTGGTCCTTGCTCCACCCAGACCCTCCTCTATCTGAGGGTCCCTCAGTCTCCCAGGGCTGTTCAGATCACTCCTCACCACCTCTCACTATCACCAACTGACATACTTCTCTTGAAATACATGCTTTCCTACCTTCGGAGGAAGTATAATGCAGGCAATCTTTCAGTGTTTGAGTGAGGCATCCCCAGGAGGTCTGGGCCTGCTGCGTGCTGACATCACAGAGACATGCTGAAGAGTAATTTTCTGTACAATATAGAACATGCCTCTCTCTTAACCCACAGGGAAGCTACATAATGATACGAACAGTATACGTGCAAACCAGGGTTCAGTAAATGTGCTCTGAAAGGTGCAGGTAAACACATGATGGCTCATCCCAGCGCTCAGAGGGTGCCGAGTTACCTTAGGCTACACAGTTTTTGTCCTGCCTGAGTGTAAATATTTTTTCCTGCTGCAAAAATAAATAAATAAAAGTTCCAAGAGCGTCAGGTCGCTGCAGGACTCCCTCCTTTGGGCAGGACAGCCTGGAAACAGCAGGGACAGGGTGACTGCTTCAGTTACAAACAAGGAACGCAGAGCACCCAGACACCTGCACATGACGGGTACCTGATAAATAAATAAAGCTTTGTGGAAAATACCCACTGGTTTGCAGTGGCTCCCACAGTGACTTGTAGCCAGAGGTGGATTTACTGATATGAGGGGAGGAACTGTGTTGACAGTGGTCTGCATAGAGTAACAGCTAACAGAGTGGTAGGTTCTCTCCTAGTTTAAAGCAGTAAGAGTTGGGGTGGGGTGCTGCTGGAAGACAGCGGCAGAGATGGGCGGCAGAGGTGCAGGATAAGGGAGAAAGTGATGAAAAGCTGGGGACCCAGAACTCCAGAGGGGTTCATGCATTCCTGGGGTGTCAGCCATGAGGGAGAGGAAGTCACAGGCAGAAACAAGGGGGCATGGATAAAGGAGGAGATGGTTCTGTAGTCCTTCTTATAAAATATGAGCTAAGGCCATAGCCTGTGACACAGTGGGGGCCCGGACTGAGCCAAGGAGTGGTTCTTCTCTCTACTCATCTGAGAACAAATGAGCTGGGATTTAATATTTGTGGATTTTGGGTTTTCAGCTGTGACTCAGTGTAAATGAAGTATGTCATTCACTGACTTATCAGCACTTCCTGTCACCACTCCTCACTTTACTTTGCAATGCAGGTACCAGCAGGCCCCTAGGAGCAGCAAGGGGATACTTCAAACATCCAGACACACCCATTTCTTCTGGAAGGTTACAACCTAATCTGCATGTACTCAAACATGTAAGAAACCCAGAGATTTAACAAATTCTCAAGCGGCAATCTTATGGCCGTTTCCCTCACAGGAAACCAGTTGACTGGCAGGTGTTTCAGAATAAGCAGTGTATAATCATCATTTAGTTGTACAAGCTTAATGTAGTGGTAGAGTCTACACAGCTCAAGTCCTCACATGGGGAATTCAGTGTTAATCCCGCCGACTGTCCCACAGCATTTAATGGTTAGGAAAGACCGGTGTTAAGCCTTATGTATGAGGCAGGGAGGCAGCTTAGCAGTAAACGTAGTGCTCTCCCAGGGACTGAGCTTGGTTCCCAGTACCCACAGCAGGCAGCTCACCACCGCTTCCAGGTGGATGGACGCCTCTGGCCTCAGGGTGGGCACTGCAGTCATGGTCACATATCTATCTGCACATACCTAACGGAAAGCGAAACCTTTACACTCTCTTTAGACAATCAATTTCAATGATCAAAAAATACCAGAGACATGGAAAAAAATAAACCGAACCAGGCAAACAACCAACCAACCCCCCCTATGTTAGGAGTAAGGTTTTCCCCACCAGTCTGGTCCCACCGTCACCCCAGCCCCAATTAACCACAGACTCCCATCACCCTAACATTTCAGGGTTAACTTATTTTTTCATTACTGTCACCACTGTACATTGTTGGAGAGAGCCGGGCGGTGGTGAAACCCGCCTTTATTCCCAGCACTCTGTGAGTTCAAAGCCAGTCTGGTCTATAAGAGCTAGTTCCAGGACAGAAACCCTGTCTCGAAAGACAAAAACAAACAACAATGTTGGAGAAAGTTTGGATCCAATTCTATTTCTTCTCAAGGACTGACACTATCTAGGTTTTAACTGATACACCCCAGAAAACTCTTTCAGGTGTAACTGGGTCTGTGAACGCCCGTGTCCACTCTGATTCCTTTTTCTATTTTGAAGTTCTTACTCCTAGAGTCTGACGATAACTCTAACGAGACAGCAAACCTCACCACCTTTTCTCAAAACATTTTGGACATGTGGAGAACCAGCAACACAAAATTCCCCTGAGCCCAAGACGACAGGAGTTACACCAGTAACACGTTTTTTTTGCTTGAAATGACTTTTCACGCGCTCAGAAATTGTATATTAAATAAACTTGTTCTCTTACCCTATGGTTGGATTGATATTCGGATCAAAACTGTCTTCCACAAACCGCCATACGATGCTCGATTTACCCACACCCGTATCCTGAAATAGAGTAAGATGTGCGACTGAGGGGGGAAAATTAAGGTATTTGTGGAAACCCAAAAGCCACTTTGTGGCAAAAAGTGAGTAATTTCAGAAAGAGCACCCTTATCTGTAGGGTTCAGAAACTAAGGGACACAAGGCCAGCTTCTAGAATACGTCAGTGAAGAGATTTCATTTCAAAATGTATTATTGGGGCTAGGCCTCTTAGTGTATGCTTTTAATTTCAGCACTGGAGGGACAGAGGCAGGCAGATCTTTGTGAAAAGAAGGCAGACCTCTTAGTCTACAAAGCCAACTCTGTGCCAGTCATGTCTTAAAACTATTTAAGAAGTACTGGGGAAGGATTCTGCAGTTTGCAAGATTATGAGACAACAGAACCTTTTGAAAGTCCTAAGCTCGCCTGCCATCCCTGCAAATCTGGGAGGCTGAGGCAGGAGGGTTCCAAGTTCAAGGCCCGCTGAGGCTACGCAGAGACTTCAAGGCTAGCTTCGTCAACTTGAGCTGCTGCTACAAAATAGAAGCAAGCAAGCAGGGGACGCACAGGGCTCAGTGGTACAGTGCTCACCTATCACGTACAAAGTTTTAGGCACTCCTCCCTCCAAAAAAAAAAAAAAAAAAAAAAAAATTCCCCAAGTTTCTGCTTCGTGTGGAAAGTGACTTGTGTGGAAACTCACTGGCCTTTTAACACACACCAGTAAACTATGCGCTTCCAAGTCAGGACTGAGTAATCCCGGATGAACCCTAGCCCCACCCTAGTGGAGGGGCACAAAATGTCTAGTTACTGGGATTCTTTTCAGTCAGTCCTGAAAACAGAAACTCAGGAAGGGGACCATCAGAGAGGGCTTTGAAATGGCCAAACTACCAAGAGAGGACCGGAAGTGAAGCCTGGGAGTCCAGAAGCTTCCTGGCGTGAACTCCTCCCTCCTTTCCTAGAAGAGCAAACTTCGGAAAGTAACTTTTGCAGAAGTGTCAGAGTCGTCCCAAAAGTTCAGAAACCACGTCGCACTGCTGAAAGGAGGCCGAGGGCGCTCAGAAAAACCCAAAGGCCTGCTGGGGTTTGACTCTGAGAGACGTGGCCAACTTCAGAGACGCCCCTCGCAAAGTTGGAAGGAAACTGCCTGCGGGCTGCTTCACCGTGGGGTGGAAAGAGGACATCCCGGCGGGGCGCCGGGGGCCACCCCGACTCTCGGGGGCCTTGGGTGGGACACAGCCTGCGGGCCCGGACGCCCCGGGGGCCTGCGGGGGGCGGCGTCCCGCACAGGGCGGGGAGGGGCGCAGGGGCCCTGGGACGCGGGGACCCGCCCACCCGGCCTCCGCCAGCCCCGGGGGAGCGGGGGCCCGGCCCGCCGCCACTCACCCCCAGCAGGCACACTTTGAGCTCCCTCAGCGCCATGGCCCGGGCAGCAGGGGTGCGGGCCCGCCGCCGCCCTAAGTTGAGGAGGGAGAGGCCCGGCCCAGCCCCGGCATCGCCCGGCGCCGCGGAGGCACCGCCCAGCCCCGGCTGCGTCCGCGAGGCGGCCGTGCGTCCGCCGCCGCCCTTCGCTGCGGCCGAGCCGCCGCTTGCCCCGCGGAGTCACTTCAGCAGCCCGGACGCCGCCCCGGCCTCCCGGGCGCCACCAACGCCGCCATCTTGGGACGCCGGCAGGGTCACCTGACCTCCCCGCCCACTTCGGCGGCCACCTTCTCCGCGAGGGCGGGGCGGGCGGCTCGCGGCTCGCAGGCTCGCAAGCGGGGTGGGCGGAGCGCCGAGGGGCGGAGCCTCGGCGTGGCCCCACCCTCCGGCCCAGCCGCGTCTCCGCCGGGGAGTGGGCGGAGCGCGGTGGGCCGTCATCTTGGCATTGCCACGCCCCTGTCCCCGCCTCCCTCCCGGGCCAAGATGGCGGGCGAGTGGGTCCAGGCGGGTGGGCGGGGCGCGGCGGGTGGGCGTGACCTCCAAGCTCGCCCCGCCTCCGGCCCCGCCTTCTAGCCCATCCCAAGATGGCGGGTGAGTGGGTCCGGGCTCCGGGGTCTCCGAGCGGCTCCCCTCCCCCTCCCCGTCCCCGCCCCTGCCCCGCGAGCCCGGGACCCGCCGCCCGCGCAGCCCCGCGTAACTCCTTGCGTGCCTTTTGATTTTTCAGAGGCCCCCCTGTACTTTGAGGACTTGCAGGATGACTTAGACGACTGTAAGTAACAGTTGGGGCGCCCCGCCCCTCCTCGGGTCCCTCTCGGGGGACTGTAGGGTGCACTTAGACGGGGCGGGAGCCTCAGGTCGAGCCTTCCAGCTTCCCCGTTCCTCGGCTGGCCCTCCTCCCCGGGCCAGGACTGGAGTGTGCTGGAAACTTTGACTTCCTGTCAGTTTGTCCCTGCGTGTCTGGGAGCTGAGAGGGGAGGGGCGGGTCCCCACCCGGGACGGACCCCTGCGTAGTTAGTGCCAGCCCTGCTGAGCCGTGCGCCCAGCTCCATCCCGGTTTGCAACCCACAGCTTCCCTCCTTTTCACTGAGTCTCTTCCACTTGACCTTTCTAGACTGTTCCCCCCCCCCCCGGAATTATTTTAAGGGACAGTAGCTGAGAGAAACACCACCTTCGAAGTGCAAGTTCGAATTTGTGGTTAACGGATGAATGAAGCTTTGGCTTTTCCAGCCCACACCTCTCTCTCGGTGCCAGTTTCTTCCTGCCATGGCCATTTGATGGGTTTCCGAATTAACAAAACAACCACTGTTCACAGGGTCTCCCGCACAGGCCAGAAGGGAGCAGAGATACAGGGGAAAAACAGCAAACCCAGGGAGGCTTGCTGGTGTAACACAAATCCCCAAAGTAGCCAGCCTCAACTGGGGCTTGGAGGTGGCAGTGCGCTCTCCTTTTCCTCCCCTGCCCGCATGTCCCTAGTGATAGGAGTTGATGTTGACTGAACATTTTTGGGCAGACCATGCAGTGTTGAGCACACTTTCTCTCTTCTTCAGGGGGAGTCAGCTTTGATAATGGAGCATGACAACTGAAGAGAAAATAAAAGTCTTTGGTGAGGAGGCCTAGCTCTTGAGTCAGATAGATCGCCCTCAGGTGAAGTCCCCGGTCACACTTTAGTTGTGGTGTGACCTGGGGCAGGGCCACCATTACTGCTTAGAGCCTCGCTGGCCATTTATTTCATCTGCAAAATGAGAATCATAGCAGCCCGCCTCGTAAGGCTTTTATGCATTAGAGGCCAGTCTGCCTCTCATAGTGAGCTCCAGGTTGTTCAGGGCTGCATAATGAGGGATTTTGTGAAGATTAACCTACCAAAGAAGGTGACATGAATCCTGTGCACAATAAACACTCAGTAAATATTGGCTGCTACTCTGGGAAGGAAGTGGGATTAACCTGTCTTACAAATAAGACTGGGGATCGAACTCTCAAATATCTAGTGTGGTGTACCTGGTAAAGAAGACAAGTCTCCTTCCCCGACTCCTGTTCTTTTTGCCTCACTGTGCAGACTAACCATACAAACGCTCTTCACCCAGGAGTGGGGGCGTCGCTGTCAGTCTGGGTGCACCTCTATTGTCTCCTTGGAGAGTTTATCTAAACTGGTGGTTCTCAACCTTCCTGATGCCACCACCCGTTAATGCAGTTCCTTAATTTGGTTGCTACTTCATAACTGTAATTTTGCTACAGTTATGAATCGAAATGTAAATGTCTGACATGCAGGATACCTGCTATGTGACACCTCCCCCCAGATCAGCCCACAGGTTGAGAACCACTGAAAATGTTTTATTGCTTCTTGGTTTAGGTCAGGTTCCAGTGGGCAGGTACTCTGGTCATCCTTTTATAGTCTCATACCCTATATGGTCTAGGTGCAAATTCATATCATCACTGATAACAGTAATGGATTCAGAGGCATGTCTGATTTACTTTGTGGTCCTTGAGTAAGTCTGGCCAATCTCAAAAAGAAGGTGCGATGAGTGGGTGCCTTGCTTTTAAACCATTCAGAGTCTCCAGGCCGGAGGAGTGCAGAAAGATAGCGATTTTCTAGAATTGGCTTGTTGAAGCAATCTGGATTCTCTTGAGAACATGAGCGAAGGAGGCAGTCTTCATCCTGGTTTTCAGGTGGGGTTGCAGGTGGCAGGTAGGACACGTGAGAGTCTAACCTAAGCAGTACAAAGGCCTGTGAATGTCAGGGTCTGCTTACAGTGTGCAGAGGCTGAAGAGGTATCACTCACTGTTGAGAAGATCTGATCATCCAGTTAGCATTTAAATACATGCCAGGGGTGAATGAGTGAGAAGTGAGAGGACTCTGGCATACTTAAAGAGACCTAGGACTAATCAGGAACACACAGTGTGTGGTCATATTTGGATCCTTGCTTGAACAGAACCATTTTAAAAAGAAAAGACATTGAAGTGAGATTGGGTGTTAGATAACATTAAGAGTTGTTATTTATTACTTTGGCGGTGATAATGGTATCATGTTTTTCCTCAAAGGAAGAGCCCTAACAGAAATAAGCATTCATGAGTGAAATGACTTGGTGTGTGAAATCGGCTTTCAAACGCTCTAACAAATAGCAAACAGAATGTTGGGAGGAGGGATCCACTGGAAAAATAGCAGAATGCTTGTAGAAGAATACTTGTAGAAGCTACTGGCTGGGGACTATCCTTTCATTTTTACATATTTGAAAATTTCCATAGTAAAAGGTTTTAAAAAATGAGATGAAAGTGTCACAAATGATCACACATTTGCAGGAGGAGTTGGAAGGCTGGATTTCAATTTTGAATATGCTGTAAGTTATTGTAAGATGCATTTAGCTTCAAAAGACCCTTGTGTAAAATACATCAGTGTTCAGGAGACCACATTTCTTTTCAGATGTTTAGTTTTCAAGAGGTATCAGTGAAGGGACTTGGGAGAGGGCATGCTTCTATTTATGAGAAAAGCAAGGTGCCAATAAATGATGTCTGGGTCTTTGTTGAAAATAGGATTAGCTCAGCTGGGGGAATATAGATAGACTCTTCAGATCCGAATGCTGGAGGGAGAGGTGCCTGTTCAACCTTGAACGAAAGACCTTCTCCCAGAGCAAAACACTCTGCATTTCACCCGCACACTTTGTTCCGTGTTTGTGGCAGTGCTCTTTCCAAGGGTTGCAGCTACTCTGTCCACACTGTACCCGTTGCAGAGAGTGCGCTAACTTGGACCGTAAATCCAGCCGTTGAGTCTTTTCTTTGTGCAGTGTGAATACGAATCAAACATGGGAACCATTTTTGCAAAAACCTCCCTGCCAAGGGAGCTAATTCAAACAGAGTCAGGAACTAGTTGAAGATTTGGATACTTGAAGAATAGAGCAAAACTCAGGCCATGGACCACCTTTTAAATTAGAAGTTGACCAATGTATATTAATTTCCATGAAGGATCAGATAGTAATAATTTGGCGCTTTTCAGGCCAGAAGGTATGTAAAACACCTGTACGCTCTAAAGTTGCATTCTAGACTAACCAGAAACTACAAACACACACCCTCACATACACCTTGGAAGCAACCATAAATCACACAGACACACCACCCATATCCCCTCACAGATACAAACACAAACATATACACATCCTGAAAGCCACCATACTCCCTTTCCAACGTACACCCGAGAAGGAACCGTAAGCCATAAAAACAGATAATATACATGCACTCCAAACCATATACTGTAAACCACATGAACATATACATATACAAGTAAACCACATAGACACATCCATAAACCTCACATATGTATATACATACATACATAGCATAAACTACACACACCACCAACCATACAAAACAAACCCGTAAGCTTTACACAGCCTTATATGTACACATTCATATATATATGCCATAAATCACATAAACACCCCCCAAAACCATACAGACCACCAACCACACACACACCATAAGCCGCAAATGTATATATATATATGTACATATATGTGGGCCTGGAAGTGTGCTATTGAAGCTTTATTGATACAAGAGAGGGCTGGACTTGGCTCAGGGCAAGTGGTTTGCTGATCACCTCCATGAAATGAAACTGTCATATTGGAGCAGTGAATTCTGTGGTCTATGGAGGAGCTGGGCCCATGTGTTGGGGGTTTCTTTCCTGCTGGGTTTAGTGAGCAGAGCAGACCACTACTTGGTTGAATAACTCAGACTGGTTACTTGTACTTGATATCTGGTCTCCTGTAGTTGCTGGGGATGAAGATACCCACTCTTTCCTCTTGGAGGATGAGCAGGGCAGGGAGTCCAGAGTGGCTACCCTCACAATCTGATACATTGTCTTTCCACGCTGAGACAAACAGACGGATGTCAGCATGCCCTGGAGAGTGTCTGTGTTTGGGCCTGTGACATCTTTCAGCAGAAAATAAAAAGTCATGTCACAAAGAAACTTGAATAAAGTTTTTTAAACAGAATCTTGCAACAAAATCTAATTAAAGAGAAAGCCTTTTGGGGCTGGAGGGGTTGGTCCAGCAGTTAAGAGTACTTGTTCTTGCAGAGGACCCAGATTCAATTCTCAGCGCTGCATGATGGCCCACAACAATGTGCAATTGCAGCTCCTGGAGATCCAACCCAGGCACCAGGCATGGGCAGGATGCACAAATGTACATGAAGGCAATACACTCACATACACATAAAGTAGTAAGACCCATCTAAAAAAAGTATTACTAGTAATACTAAAATCAGTTGCTTCTCTTCAGATGTTGGGGGTGGAACCCGAGGCCTCTGTATGCTAGGCTTATGCTCTGCCACTGAGTCACACCCCACTGTCTTGTTTACTTTAAAGTTTTGCCACAAGGTCTCCCTGAGTTACCCAAGAAAGTCTTTGTAGCATAGCTCAGCCTTGAACTTGTGATCTCCCTGCATGAGGCTTTGGAATAGCTGTGGTTGTGGTCCTGTACCACAAGACTTGGCTTACAAAAGTGGTTTTGCCCTTCACAATGCCAGTTGTTGTTATCCCTGGTGGGGAAGATGTAAAAGGCAGTATACAGTTGGGCTCCTCATCTGGATAGTCATTCTTCCATGTAACAGATAGCTCACCAGCTCTCCCAGCATGCCCAGTCTAGGCCTCTGGGGGTGCTGGGGAGGGAAGAAAGCACAAGAGACGTTTGCTCCCAAGATGCTGGAAGTCTAGTGCTTGGCAGACAGTGAAGAAGCCAGTGCAGGCTCAGCGTGCCTCACCCAGGCAAGAGAATGAGCCAGGAG